ACATTTTTATCATTCATGTTTGAGCAAAATAACTCAAAAGTCCTCTTTCGATAAGTTGAATTTCTAATGATTGCCTGTATCGTTTCGGCTCCATTCGTATGGGAAAGCTTTTTCGTTTGAGATATTAGTTTGAAAAGCTGAATAACCAACGCATCAACTTGAGAGTCAAGATGAAACCCAAAAAACTGAAAGATATCCGAAAGGGTTTTGCAGGATGTGACTACTAGGGTGGTTCGAAGAGATTGGGTCTAAAAGCATCGGCGTGGAGAATTGTGGAATACAGATTACGACACAAGGACAGATATACTTGTTAGCCACGACTGAAAATTAGCACTCAAATCATTCGATCAGCTGCAGTCGATTCGGCCATCCATTGCTATAGTTTCTAATTGTACCGGCGACCTCCTCAAATCTGCACTAAGCTCCAAGAAATTGAAACATATCTACATACCGCAACAACAATTCCTTGTAAAGATTTCACAATTCCCGCAATCACTATGTCCTCCTTATCTTTTCTACTTGTGTTGTCACTATCGTACTCATTAATCCAGTCATCACAGCCTCTTAAGACACTTCTTAACCTTTGCAAAGTTTCGTCTCTTCTTTCCCAATTTTCTTCGGTTTCTTTACCGTTTTCTAGGATGGACTGGACATTGTTGAACTCAGATTCAGCGTGACGTATAGAAGAGATTGGTATGGGATGTGGATCCTTCGATAGAGTGCCTTAAGGATGAGCGATCGATAATATAAATGTTTTTCGGCCGGATCAATGGCAGCAAGAAGATATAGTTAGTTTAGCAACGGCCGATGGACCCAAGTGAGAAAACAGAAACATATCGCAGAAAGACAAGTGGAACATACCTCCACCCCGGCCTCTTTCTTCCATGATCATAAGGGTGGCGAATACTTATATATTATATGAGTTGCATTCACAGCGACGCAAGTTGAACTGATGTAACAGATAGGCAAATGAAATCTCTGTTCGCAATTTCGCGTTCCCTAATTCCAGCCGAGGTTCAAGTCCAGCAGAGTCACTGCCCCTCAAGAAATCAAATTCAATCCGCACAACCACATTCTCTACTTTCTTCTAGATATCATATCTTTCACACTCACAAAGCAATGTCATCACAACAACTGCAAACTCTCACCAGAGGAGAAGAGGAATCAATACTGAAACGAGTCAAGGCCGATGCCCTAAAGACTTGCGATGACCTAGTTAAAGGTTAGCCTTTTTGACCTCCGTCACATCTTGGACTTATCAGTTCTAACCGGTTCTCTTGTTCCGTCGAAATCAAATTATAAATCTGCCACTCAATGATAGAATATGCTAAATGCTGTGAGGGTACTTTGTTTTCCGCTCTCTTGCTACAACTGAAAAATACCTGCTTAACGCTTCATCGGCATGATTAACTCAAATTAGGACGAACGATATCGGTGGCTTGGAAGTGTAGGAGCCAGTTGAAAGCTATGAGCAATTGTCTAAAGCAAAAGTAATATCACTTCGTTTACCAATCTTCATTTTGTCTTGGCCTTATTAGTCCAATGTAGTTGCTGTTGTCGGTTGGATCTGCAACGGTTCCAATTTGTCGATTTGATTTCTCAACTTTTTCTGATTTGCCAATCTAACTTAATTTTATTCATTAGTTCTTCAACAGAAGCGATCGATAAATACAGACTCGAATATTTGAAAACTAAACATTCTTCCTAAAGAAACCTCCGTGGCACCAGATTTTGTAGATGTATGATCAATGGATTGTAGAAAACGATCATCGTTGTCGACAGTTCTAATAAATTCTGGCTTAATGAAAGAGGACGAGTCGTCTTACAGATATTATAGCTATACGAATACGCTTTTATTGCAATGTTTATCCTAGCTTATTTTTAAACCAAAATGACTGAACTATTGACTATATATAACTACAATCTATCTTGTTCACTCATCACTTAATGCATCCCTTTCATTCCGACACACCTTCACCAATTTAGTACGGCAATTTATACCCATCTCTGTGCCAAAACTCTCCTGAGGATTCCAGGTTCAACTTTTCAATGCATTTGACCATGCATTCGACGGCTTCTTTCGGACCTGTATAGATTCGTCAATGTCGTATACGCTATATCTACGTCTATCTATCACCACTGGGTGTGCAACAGCATATATAAAACAGAAACATACCCATATCGCCTCTTCCACCTGTCATATCTGTAGCAATCATTCCAGGATGGAGGGCTAACACCGCAATCTTGGATGGTTTCAAGTCTATCGCAAGGGATTTTGTAATTTGGTTGAGGGCAGCTTTAGACGCACGATAGCCATAGTACCCGCCTGATGTCTATTTTAAAATAATCGATCGATGTGTCCAATAGATATGAAGGAATGTCAGACAGATCACCGCAGGAAGAGAAATAAAACCGAAATTTGCAGTCTATACGTTATCTTCGATCGACCTTTCAGTTGTTAATTTCATCATCATAACGTTAGTACATAGCAAATCAAGGAGAGACTTCCAAAAAAAAATACAATACCCCATTCGGCTAGTAATATTGATAACTTTCACAATGTTTCCGCCATGAGTACTTTTGCAAAGATGGGGCAAGAAAGCTTTAGTAACCAATAAAGGACCTAAGCTATTTGTAGCGAACTGAGCCATAATTTGTTCGGACGAAGCCGCTTGAAGATCATCGCGATGCAAGATACCGGCGTTGTTGATTACTATGCGGTAGTTGGCGCGATATGGAGGTGTCCAGCAAGTGAGACCATAGTATATTGAAGGAAGTGTGCGAGCAAAGCGTAAGAAGATACGTAGAAAGTGCATATTTTGCGAAACGTGGAATGAACTTACAAAGATCAACTGTGTAGTTCTTTAGTTCTTCCGCGGCCTTGGTTATTGAAGGCTCGGAACTTACGTCCAACTTGAGTAATTTAACAGGCAAAGATTTGAGCTGCATTCAAAAATCAGCAGCTATGTTAATTTGTTTGCTTGGCTAAGGTTTCATGGTATGTTTGTCTAACGAAAAGCAATAAATGGAACCACAACACACACTTCTGACGAGGACTCGGGATTACGAGCAGCGGCAATAACATTATACCCAGATGAAAGGTAATAGTTAACGAAAGCAAGGCCAATACCTCTGTTTGCGCCTGTGATGAGGACAGTTTTGTCGGACATATCGTATCTATGGTCTAATGTGTGAATTGATATAAAAGAGAGTACCGCCGGTGGCAATGGGACTTAATAGCAAGCGATTTATGTGTAAATATCACGTGACTCGTAATTCGTATTTGTTGTTCCCTTTTACCCGACAAGGAAATTTGAATCTCTCCGAACTCATATCCACGTCGACAGTCTCTGTCTTTAATCTTTGCTGTCTTGTATCATCGAAATACTCACTCTCATTGATCATCAACTTCCGGTTCCGAGACTCCCTGATTCCTCTTCCCTTTAGGTCGTCCCCATTCTCGTCGTCACCCGTTCATCATGTCTGGCAATAGTCAACGTATCGCTATCTTCCCGACCCGGATGGCGCTAACCTCCATGAAACTCAAATTAAAAGGTGCCCAAACCGGTCACTCCTTGTTAAAACGTAAATCCGAAGCTCTTTCCAAACGCTTTCGAGTTATTCTCGGTAAAATCGATGAAGCAAAACGTAAAATGGGAAAAATCATGCAAGTCGCTTCCTTCTCACTCGCTGAAGTAACTTATATCACCGGTGATATCTCCTACCAGGTTCAAAATAGTGTAAAACAGGCACAACTTAAAGTTCGAACCAAACAAGAAAATGTGTCCGGTGTGATGTTGCCCGTGTTCGAAATGTACACTGAAGGATCAAATGCCTTCGAATTAACAGGTCTGGGTAGGGGAGGTCAACAAATTCAAAAATGTAAAGACACTTATGCGAAAGCAGTAGAAAGCTTGATCGAGTTGGCTAGTTTACAGACAGCGTTTATCATTTTGGACGAAGTCATCAAATTGACTAATCGAAGAGTTAACGCTATCGAACACGTTGTCATTCCCAAAATTGATAATACTATTAAATATATCATCAGCGAGTTAGATGAACAGGACAGAGAAGAGTTCTTCAGGTTAAAGAAAGTTCAGGGAAAGAAGAAGAAAGATAAGGAGGCGTCGGAGAAAGAAAGGAGTGAGAGGATGCTGGACGATTCGGCGGAAAGTGAACCTTCCAATCTTTTGAGTGCCCAAGAAGATGAAGATATCATCTTCTAAAAATGCTGAACTAATTTGGAATAAGTACGTTTGTGTCGTTATTTCTCTCTCCGTCCTGACTCCCGAATGATCGATTTAACATACAACAAAGACATTACGTCTGGTTGACGATTCGTGTTTATTGTTAATAGCAAACCAATACCTCAATGATTCCCTGTATATGTCTATACCTCTCCAATAACACTTTGCATTTGCCCTATCGAATTGATACATCTTGTTATTTCGCCTGTTGGCTGTCTGTGAATGTTGGAAGGCTCTGTTTGCTTATGCCACAAATGAGATATCCGTTGATCTATACAAAACTTGCAATACATGCATTGCGTTCTCATATTTTTGTGTTACTTTGCCCTAGATTAAAATGATTTGAAAAGCTCCGAAATGGCCACATTTATATTAAACTTTCACCTTGATTTCCCAGGTTTTTAACAAATTCTTGATTGACTAGATTCATAGTGCCTTATAATACGCATATAACTTGAAAAAGTACTGATTATGTCCATCTTTCTGTTCAGGACTGAGCTGGGTAACCATATTGCGCGCAGGTGTAAATTCATTGCAAGCGGAAATCTACGTCTATCCTGTTATGTCTCACGTGGGACATTATACCGCCATCGATATAGTCGTTGAAGCTGTATTTAAGCAAAAAATGTGATGAAAAAGCCTAATTCTTTATCCACGGCGCGCTCTCCATCCTTCGATGTCAGTGTAAAATAAAGGAATGCCTTTGCTCTTAATCATGGTTCATTATGTTTTTAAGGGACCGCAGACATATAAGCCCGGTTAACTCAGTCGGTAGAGTGTGCGGCTCTTAACCGCAATGTCGTGGGTTCGAGCCCCACATTGGGCGTTCTGTTTTGTCGTGGCTGGTACTTTTATTCTGCCAACTCCTTTTGCAGACTTTTTGAGAGTGTTTCTCATTAATTCCCAACCCTGTTAATTGATGAACCCAGCCGATGCAGGTCATGAAGCCTGTGTATCTTAATCAAAATAGACAGAAGTGCAGTGCGTAATTTCGAGCAACGCTCCACGTGTCAAAGTAAACATTATTGTGAAGTAGAGTCCAACTCGGGCTGTCGGTCAAAATAGACTAAGCTACATTCAATGCTACCGAAATTGCTGTCTACTTGCTCATCCTACAATCTTTACAGACGTCTACTATACAGTCGGTTGCTTCCTAGTGTTTTATGCCTCGGAAGCTCCGATCGTGTGCTCCTACGATGGGCAAGTTCATCCAGCCATTCTGAATCCATTTATCAATACACCGGAGTCAGCAATGCCGACATTTTAGAAGAATTTAAAATGCCTGGAAAATATAGAAGATTTTTCAAGGATCGGAGGTCACGTAGTCTTAAAGACGATATCGAAAAATCTGTTTATATCGCCAAGGTAAACGCATTGTCTCTTCTAATCCCTTAAGTTCTCGTGCCTAATGGCAGCATTTTGCTCCACCAATTGTAGAAAGCACCTGCCACGATACCAGCAATGTCCGTCTCCGCTTTTAACGGACCCCAGAAACATCATCGAAAACTGGCGCGTAGAATTTCGCGAGCCATTTCTGATATATTGTACAGTCCGGATTTTTCATATCTAATTCCACCAGATTCAACTGGTTTGAACGATGGAGATGCACTTTCAAGGTGGATTGATGCATGGCATGTTGATAAAGTGGAAGCGAACGCAAAAGGGAAAGTCTACGTTTTCTGGAAACGTTCCTTGCCAGACAAGAACAGGTCTGTCGAAAATCTGCTGAAGCAAGAGGTTCCGACCGAAGATGAGAGTGAAATGGTTGATGTACGTTTTCCGTTTGCTCAATTTTAAGTGTAGATGTCTGCCTTACAATTTTAATTACCTATTTTAGCCAGGTACTCTTGCTGCTTTCGAGAAGTCACTTCAAAAGGCTATCCGTGCGAAACTCCAATTGCGCTATTTGCCGCCTGTTGAATTTGTTTGGACAAATATGCACGATACAGATCAATTATTAGATGTCGTTGAATTAGAATTAAAGATGATGGAGCTGAAGCAACTAGCGGAGAGCTCGAATGACGCGGGTGTTGCTGGTTTTGATGCAGCAGATGAAATTGCTGCCGAAAATCTAAAGAAATCATAAGGGTTGGACAAAGATTTGCTGCCGTTCATATTATCCCAGAGACGCTTAGAGACGATGGCATGAGAATGGACTTGTAATTTCCAAAATGAAGGCGTTATTTATTTTTGCTGTCTGTACTATAATACCATATAAATTATCCATAGCTACCATTTGAACTGTCAAGCGAAAATATTTCGCAATCCCAATGAAAATAAATCATCTTCGCTACCCTTGTGAAGAATTGTCATAAATCACAGTAGGCTCCAAACTAAAGAACTGGTGGAATAAACGGCGTCTGCAATGATGCCGCCAAGATTGTGAGTATGCTTTCGATGTAGAAGTGTTATTGGAGCGACCTTACTATTGGCTGTCCAATGTAAAAATTGGGGCAACTATGGTACCATAAAGAGATACGTTTAATATGTTTATTCTGTTAATATATGCGTCTATGTTATTTCATTTCTTTACAGCGACCAATATGTGTGCGTCATTATGCATTCAATACCACTTTAGGAGAATACCCAGCATCGATCGTTTGATGAATAATCGGTTGAACATCTTTTTTGAATCAATCTGTTCCTTCAATACTGGTGGACCCTTTTGAAGTGATGTCTATGTATCGCCAGATGAAGAGGTTAGATTTAAACGTGTACATAATGCTTTCAGACAGCCTAATATTCAAGTTTGAAATAAACATCTTACGTTGAGATTTTTCAGCCTCCAATTGATCGGCTACGCCATCGTATCTTTCTTCTTTAGTTCTCAAATCCCGTCCATCCTGATCTATTCCATACATAGAACGTTAGCCAAGAACACAACTATTTTCAGTTGAAATCGATAGTACCTTCATTGCGCTCATTGGCTTGCCGCAAGAAATATTTCTGTTTCGCAACCTGAATCTCATGAGCTTCCTGCAAGGATGGTGCACCCCTATTCAGGGATGAGTCCTCTGGTTTTCGACCCAAGGCCAGATCTTGTTGCACTCGCATTACCATTACTACATAAGGAT